CACTTCATTCAGTTCAGTATAAAACGGTAATATAAACTAGAATCACTCGATTAGCTTATAAAGTCTTGAATATAAAAGTTGAAAAGCTAATGTGTATTTTTCCTAATCTCTCTGACGCACTCCACGTTCATCCAAATACATGATTTTAGCAGGCGTAGGAAGATCATGACTGGTTAGTGGCAAAGCACAATTTAAAATTGACCTAAGGGTTTTTTTTTTTTTTTTTGTAGAATAAGAACAAAGATTAAGTTCATCTATCATTTTCGTTTCAGAATGAAGGGTTGAGGAGCGGTTTAATGTTGCTAAAAATTTTATTTTAAGAATAGCATATTTGGGAAGAGGAGGAAGGGTGGTATTTCCTTAAAACCTATATCAATAGAAAAAAGTTTCGTCGAAGGACAGACAATCAATTTATATGTATTGTTTTATTTATAAGATAAAGTTGAAAATAGATAATGAACAGCATATTTCACCACAAATATATTAAAAAATATATATATTATTAAGTAATACAGCGAAGTCTCAATGTTTCTAAAGCCGTGAGAAAAAGGGGATCGCCGCTAAGATGGATTAGTGTTATTATACCAGAAGGGGATTATTATTTGAAATATAAATTATTTGGTAGCTGCGAGGGGACAGACAGACAGTAAAGTCCACTCTACTGCGGACGTGGGGCCCTGAGTAGCAATTTTTCGTGAGGGGGGAGACATTTGGAATGGGAAAGCCGTGTCCTAGGGCCGGCTCCATCCATCACCGCGGCCACAGGTATTCGACCTGTTGCATCCCCCCCGCGGCGGAGCGTGCTACGGATTCTGAATAGCGATGTGTTATTGCTAAAAAAAATTGTGATTTACTTTAACTCAGGTTGAAATATTACTACTAAAATTATTAGTCAAATGGAATGACTAAAACACCCAGTTTTAAAAGTTCCTAAAATAAATAAATGAAATTGGTGGAATCAAAGGCTTAAGTGTTCAAATCCCCACCCAGAAAAATAGAAAAATATTTTTTCCTTTTCATTGCTCTATATTTGTTTCTAAGAGTAATCTGATCCAAATACTTAAAAAATCACAAGATGTTTTCTTTTTAAAATTTAACACATTTATTTAGGCTACTAATAGAGACAGGTGTCTTCTTCTTCTCAGTCTATCTAGCCCACTGGTTTCTGTTCCTTGCCAGTCTTCTCATCTCCGTTAAGGTGCGTCCTCTTGTTGCCCCCCGTTTTCCAATGTAATCCGAGTACATGCATCTTGATCTACCACGAGGGCGTCTGCCTTCCGGCCTGGTTTCCAAGTACCACCTGGTCTTTCTGGCATCGTCCATTCTACAGAAATGTCCGTAACATTAGTTGCTGTTTTGGGATTTATGTCGCACAGTGATTTGAAATTCAAATCCTCCCAAATTCTTTCATTTCTGACGCAGCCCCTTCTAATCTTACCAACTATTCTTCGAAGGAATCTCATTTCCGCTGATGTAATTCTACTTACCTGTTTGTCGAGAGTTGTCCAGCTTTTTGATCCATACAGGAGAACTGGGAGGAACACAAATCTAATTATCAAAATTTTGGCACCTCTACTAGCTTTTTCCTTTCCTATGTAGTTTCGGATATTTGATGGTATAGTCTATAGGTAGGAAACCTTTTTATCATTAAGAGGCCGCAGTAAGGTTAGGCAGTGCTAATGGAGGGCGCAATAATTATTTATACTTTACCGTTGCTATTTCTATTTACCGCTAATTACACATATCCACATACATACATTCAACTCTATTCTATTGAACTCTAATTTGTCGTTACTTTAATAATTAAATATTAATGAAGTATAAAAATCTCGTACAAAAACGTTTGGAGCCCGCAACTACGTCACAGAGGCCACATACGGCCTTGGAGGCCACGGATCCCCACCATTTTTCCCTATGGTATAGTCCCAAAACCCTAATGCAGAGTCCTCATCATTAGAGGCCCCAGTAAGGTTAGGTAGGGCTAATGGAGATTGCTATTTTTATTTAGCACTAAATACACACACCCTTACACATACTTTAACGTTTACATACATAAACGTTTAATATAGCACAAAAACGTTTGGAGAGCGTAACTACCTCACAGAGGCCACAGGCAGCTATGATATGGTCTATTGGGTATCGTCACTCGATTTAGAACCTACTGGTCTATTCTACCATTTTCACTTATTATGTCCGACGTAGGTATGAGTATTAGTTAATTCTTAGGGTTCAACAATACACAAAATCCTAGGATCCACGTTTTCCACAGACATTAGTTTTCTTTTATTTGGGTTTACTTTTAAACCTCTTATATTCAGTTTCTCATTTCATTCGTCCAAGATACCCGAAGAGCCTCCTGGAAGTCTGCTATCAGTAAAATATCAACATATTTCATAGCTCGAGTCAGTAATCGCATTGAGTCGACTTAAACAATCACAATGCGATTTCTTTTTTCTAAATTATGACGCATCTACTTCAGCTACTAATGTAACACATATCAAGAAAAAACATAAATAGTTTGTCTCAAAAAGTATTATTGTTCCAGTAATGAATAATTAGAAATATTATCCCTAAATATTTAATCTTTAATCCACTACTTTCCTCAAATGGATCAATTATTTTAACTGAACATTCATACACTATATTCATGAAATTTCAATAACTAGTGCATGTTTTTACACATTTTAAAAAAGTTACACAGGAATCCTTTCTTCTGAATATGATCCCCATCCCTATCCCCACATATTATTACAGTAAGTCTCGAAATCGGGTTTGTACCAAATATAAGCTCCTGTCATGCTCAAATACCATGAATGGTGTACCGTTGGATTCATAATTTCACGGGGGGTTGGCGAATCATATTCTCCACTTATGCTTTTCTTCCTAAAATAAATAAAGTCGATACAAACATTTTGCTAGGCTTCAATATTGGAACGGTGGTAGGTCTGTAGATCGAAACGGGTCATATTGGACCTTGAAGATTTTGATGCGTACAGCAAGACCCGGATATTTCCTCCGGAACTATCGGATCCTGTGTTTTAAGCTCCAAAACGTAATATTTTCGAGAAAATGCAAGGTATAGGGTTCGCATCCACACAACCTTACATTGATTGTAGTACTGTCATTGAATACATGTCTCATTTAGTCCACTTTGAAACCTCTATGATAGAGAGAGGAGGAGTTTATATTATTTATCGATGGTGTTTTTGATCGGCAAGCCATATCATCGTTAATTCTTCACCAAATTTCAAGATTGAGCCACCAATATCGAAGGCTTCCTTCTCCTTTATGCGGGAAAAATAGTCCAATCACCACGAATTCAGGCAAACAAGTTATGAAAGAAAACATACTTTATTTACGAATAACTAAAAAAGTACACATTTTTCTCTGGGTTAAGCCCATGATTACATAAAAGATTATTAAATTCCCTACAAAGGAAAAAAAATCATCGAAATCGGACAATTTTTAGCAAAGATACAGCTTATTGAAATTTTTAAACATATTGCTTCCAAACATTAATGAAGATTTAAATTAATTTTTTTTTCTTTGTCGATTATATTTATCGATAAAGTAACAATTAATTTCTTTAGCTTTTGATACCTTGCATTATTTTATTTTATTATTAATTTATGATTTGATAACAATATGCTGTGCGAATTATTCGCACGGGCCTACTAGTTATTTATAATTAACAAATTTATTAACTCTTTTAGACTTTTGAGGTTTTCTCGTTAGGTTGTGGGCATGTCTGTATTACAGACAGAAAAAAAAAAGTAATAATTAAGTGGCTTTTATAAACAAGCAGAACAGATTAATTTCAAATTTATCAGCAATAATAATTAAACATTAGATTCTATCAGGTGACTGTGGCCTCACTTGAAAAACAGTGCTGCCCCTCGCCTGGGGGTGCCATATTCACGGGAGGCCCACTATTTGTTTTTAATTATAAAATAATAAAAAAAGCCTAGTAATAAAATATATCTACAGAATTAGAGACATACTAAATTAAATATAAAGTAACGTACATGTCTTTCACACTTGTCTCATTTTTTCCTCCTGAATTAATGTTTTTATTTATTTATTGAGAAATATTACAATCTGTCACAATTAAGAACATTTATAATAGTGTTCAGAGAGCACTCTATTTACAATAAATAAAAATAAATAATACTGAAACTAATAATAATAAAAGTAAATGTATATAAATAAAAGAACTAAACTAATCAAAATAACAACTAAAACACAAACATACTATACAATATTTACAGAATCCATTCACTCAGGAGAACACCGAGCCAAGCCTTTCTCGCCCCTCGTGGAAGGAAAGGGAGGACTGTAGGAGATCCCGGCGCCTCGCACTGAGCCGCATTACTGGTATTAAGAACCAGTAGAGGCTGAGGAGAGGCGCTGTAATAACCTCCTGAATTAAATTTTTTTTTTTCATTATTTTTTCTTTTTTTTCTAACGGTTGAAGGGAGCTAAAAATGTAATTCCATAGAAACGCCAACTTTTTTAAAGATGTACCAATGGATCAGCAAGCAATTCTTTTGGGAATATTTTTAAATAAAACATAAACTGAGCCTAACTCTTCACTCATTGAGTTCGGGGTGGATGGATATTTTCAGGAATGTTCCAGGAGATGAAAAATTAATTTAAACAAATAAAATAAAAATAACAGTGCGAATAATAAATATTAAAGCGTTTTATTATATAAGAATGAATAAAGTGATAAATAGCCATTTATGGTACCACAGCCATTTGCAGAGCTACTTCAGAAGTCATATATCACGGGGTCAATTTCCTCAACGATAAAAAAATGACGGGTAACCTACCAACATCTTTATCGGCTCCCTCTTCCATCTTTTCTTACACACTTATTGCAGAACTAAACTTATGGTGTAAATACAAAAAATGTTTGTTTATGATATGAATAATCTGTTCTTAATATCCATCTAATCTATATGTTTATGTTAATAATGCATTAATTATATTTGTTTTCAGGTGCTTTCTTGGTTCCTTACTGCATCATGCTTTTTGTTGGCGGAATACCACTCTTCTACATGGAACTGGCCCTAGGTCAGTTTCATCGCAAAGGCGCAATAACTTGTTGGGCTAGAATTGTACCACTATTCAAAGGTAATTGAAAAATATTTACTTTGCATAAATTTATATTTTATTCATCGTTGTTCTTAAATAATGGAGAACTCGTTTTTCTATTTTAACGCTACAAGCTAGTTATTCTCACAATTTTAAAAGCAAAACAACAAATAATTCATAGTACAAAAAAAAGTTATTCTTTTCATTGTCATAATTCTTTCAACTCTATTGCAAAAATTATAAATGTCAATAAACTATAGCGCAAGGAAGATAAACCTTTACTTAAAGAACAATTAATATTTTCTTTGAAGGTACAATTTAACAACTTGTTTTACAATATACTGTTTATACCTAATAATAACGTTATATATTACAAACCTCTGAGCTGAAAAGATCGAATAATTAAAATTCAAGACAAATTTGAAAATAAAATAAAATCATTTAATAAATTGGGGGGAGACGCTAAATAAATTATTGTTAATACTTATTTATTTGGTCGACCAAGAGCGAGGGATGATGGGGGATAAGGGTTGTGATATATACCCCACTTAAGGGGCTTATAGGTCCAGCTCTCACCGGACCCCACACATATATAAATAATTTTCTTCAGTTTATAACTGCTGTATCTAATTATAAGTAGAACTATATCATGTTCCTCCTAAGATATCAACAACAATAAATACTATTGTGTATACTATTATGCACTTGTGCATAATGTGTTAAGTGCAAAAGTCATATTTATGGAAAAACGTAACTAAAATTTTTTTGAACTTTCACAGTTGCAAGATCAATTTTCGAGTTTCAATTCATGATTCACAAAGTAACGTCAGTAAAGTCTCATAATATAGACCATTAGACACAAAGAAAGAGAAAAAAATTATCATTTTGGTGAAACTCTATAAAAGTTGACAAAATTACACTGGACCCACACTTTTCACAGCCGCCACAGATCTATATCCTCAAATTTTCACATAAACAAAACAAAAAAACAACATATCTATTTAAAAACGTTTATCTTGAATCGAAAGAATTCGGTTTGTGATTAATAAGAAGATTAAAAAAAATAATAATGTTTTACAAAAGAAAATCCCAAAAAATAATTCAAAAGAATTGACAAAAAATAGTTCAGCCGAATAAGATGAGGATTATAAATAAATAATAATAATTTAAATAATGCACAAATAATTCAAAGTAACGTAAAAAGTTCGACTGCAAAAAATACTTAGCTAATATAAAAAAAAATAGTTACGTGAACAATAAACGTGAACTTATCTACAAAAAGAAGTATTTTAATCTATTTTATGGTTTTACACACTAAATGTTTACAATTTCTGAAAAGATAATTTTTAATCTGGGATCTTTTTTAACACTCAGGACGGAAAATAAAGAAACTATATAAAATGATGTGCAATTGGTCCTTGAATATCTGTCCAAAATAAAAAATGAAATAAAAAACATTAATCATATGAATAATAACGTTTTAGGACGATAATTTTGTTATTTGACACGTTCTTATATTTAGTTGATACACACATATATGTGTGTGTGTGTGTGTGTGTGATTTGACACCAGAGCGTTGGAGTAATCGGCGGTAAAAAGAGAAAATAATTAAATTTTTGTTCACGAATTTGCCCCTTACAACAGTTGTGTTATTATCAGAACTGAATTATACCAAATAAAAGATAATTCACATATAGCTGAGAAGAGTTTTTATTAAAACTAATCTTGATCTCTGAACTTAAAGGGATCAAAGATGAGATTAACGGGTTAATGAACTAATGAAGATTAACAAAAACAGCTAATTTCTTTACTATAATGTGGAGTGATTTTTTCTAAAGCCTTATAGACCGCCTTATTTTGCTAACAAAAACTTATGTGGGCCACTTCACTGGAATCGCTTTTTGGATTATGTAAGATATTTAATATCACAATCAATATTTTTTCAACTTCAGGTTCAATCAATATTTCTTATTCTGTACAAAAAATAAATTATTTGGCATATATCCTAAAAATCCGTAAACATTAATAACATACATTTTGTTTGGAATTACATAATTTTTTTTTCGGCTTCTAGGTTGCATCGGCAAGAACCTGATATATTATACACATCATGAATCTAATATTTTTCGATCTAGTATTGCCAAAAAACGTTGCATTGAAATCGGCAATACCAAGTCCACAAGATTAAATTAAACCTCTCCTTGTAAGAGGTTTATATACACATCTAATAATATATCGAGACGGTCTCATGTGTCCCACCTTTACAATGGATCGAAGTAGCTTTCCCTTCTTTACACCGATAATATTTCCTTGTATCTTACCTACTCCAAACGATCAAGTTCCGTTATACTTGCTACAGTCTTTTACAGTTCAAGCCCGTAGTCCATTCCCAGAAAACAAGATCCCGAGTTTCAGACTTTTATACCTCTTCTCATAGAACTAAAACCTTCGAACGTCCCTTTCTTGTCCGCTCCCCTACTTTCTGGAATGCTCTGCCATCTTATATCCGTCATGCCTCTTCCTTGTCCTTATTCAAATAACTTCTTTACCAATTCCTTCTCACATCCCAAATGGGCTCTCTACAATCGTGAAATAAATTTAATGAATCGATATTTCATTGAAGTGAATGGTTGGTTAAGTTTTAATTTTAAGAATCAACTCATAATATTCATAACGTTTTTTTTCTACTGATTTCTGTTTTTTTTTTAAATTTCAATTATGTTATTCCAAAAATGTTTTTACTTTTTGTTGTTTATATATTGTCACTGAATATATTGTATTATTTAATGTTTAATTATGTTGTATTTGACTAGATATGTTTTTTTTAATAATTCTTCTTCTCAAGGGACCTTCTATCTATCTATCAATGTTTTGATTAATATACATACGATCTATAATAAATTAATTTTTGTATTGTATTTTAACTGCTAATGTTATAAAAGAATGGGAGCTAAACTAATATTAAAGTTTTTCTTTTATACACAACTAATTAACCGGCGGTATGTTGATCCCAACAAGTACGGATAAGCGGAACTCTGCTGAATATAATCATCCGATCGAACCAAATCATAATGCTCAAGTAATAGATACAATCTGTAAGTTGAACAGAGGCGGTTAGGATTAGAGGGGGAGAGTTCACCAAATTGACATCTAAAGCCTAACTTATCGGAATAATCTTCCTATGGGGAGTGATGAGAAAATGGCAAGTTAGTAATGTCATTATCTGAGGCCATTTCTCCATCCATGGTCTACTAATCTATCATCTCGTCAGGATAACTCCCTTAAACCAACTAGGCTATTCCACGGCAACTTGCTATTGGATCACGGAGGGCACGCGGGAAGCACCTCTGATTGGGATTTGTGCTACGGTATTGTGGCGTATGTTTCCGTAGCATATTTACATAATTGATGTAGTAAATTTTTACCTTATATATGAAACAGATAGTAAGGGAAAGTATTTCGATCGTGAGTTTTCAACGGAAATACATGGTTTGGGAGTTCCTGAGTCCAAAAAAACAAGTATAGCAAAATGGTCTGTTTGTGTGTGAGTGTATGCATATGTATTAGTCCGTGATACAGACCCCTTTTTTAAAAATTATTAACATCCGGCTGAAACTTCAAAAAATAGCTTCGTACCTATGGTAACCTACAAATATTTAATTTACGAAAATTCTCGTAATAGGGGCGTTTTCAATCTGCAGGTCGGCAAACTTTATTTATTTAATTAGGTACTAAAAACTGGTAAATACCCATTTGTTTTCTACTTGGATCATAAGATAATTTGAGCAGGAAGTGGCCTTCAAAAATATTGAGCCGTTTGGCGTGACCTACCAAATTATCAAAATAACGAGGTTATATTGGCCAAACCACTAAATGTCACTGTAGACATTGTAGGTAACCTTTTTTATCGGTTTTGTGATCAAAGTATCTTAAGATCCAAGTGGAAAGTAAATGGGTATTTACGAGTTTTAGCACCTAATTAAATAGACAAAGTTTGCCGACCTTCAGATTGAAAACGTTCCATTTCCGAAAATTTTCGTAAATAAATTGTTTATAGATTTCGCTGAGATCAAGCTATTTACGTCTTTTCAGGCAGATGTTAATAATTTGATAAAAGAGGTCTGTACCACGATAGCTATATATGAACAGGCTAGCTCAAAAGTCGTCCAGAACTGAAATTACGCATTCACATTATAATACTCAAGTTTATGTTTCTGATAGCAACGTATACGCCAAAATCGACTAATGTGGCAAATACATTCCTTACTATATGTATTTAGTGTGTGTGTGGATGTGTTTATATATATATATATATATTATATATATATATATATATATATATGTCTGTTGTATATAAATTATGTATTTTTATATACATATATCTATATTTTATTTTTAGTAGCGGTATAGAATAGAATTGAATAGAAAATAATTTCATAATTATTTAATAACAAAAAAGTACAAAGTTGAAGTATTATATCTGGCCTAAGCAAAAACAAACATAAAAAGTAAAAATAAGGAAAAAAGTAAAGAAAATATTAGTTAAACATACTATGTACAAAATAAAAAAAATCTATATGCAAAACACTTGAAACCATGCCAAGATACTTAAAACTATGTACAGTGGTACAACATAAGTATACACTTTAAAAAAATAAAAAAATAAAAAATACATTGCATTCTTCTTAGCAATAAACTCTGTGTTTCTGCAGAAAAAAAAGAAGAAGAAAACGAATCTGATGAGATGAGATGAAGAAGGTATACATACTATTATTTAAATTACTGTACATATTGTAGAATCTTTACAAGGTTAGTTTTAGGCCTGATATGTATTTTATTTTCTTTTTTTCATTATAATTATTCTAAGGAGACTTAGTCCCTTGAATAAAGTTCAAATTTCTATTCTATTCTATTCTATATAATCGATTTTAAATATTTTTTCTCGAAAACAGCTCTAAAAGTTTTGAATCAACTCTCTACATGATAGTTTATAGTTATGATATTCCACAAACAAAACACAGTTATAATGAGCAGTATAA